TAAGCGCTCAAACACTAACAAACTGACAAGATCTTTCGCTGTCTATAGCCGGGTACCCATTCCCACCTGGGTGAAGTGGGGAAAATTCGTGTAAAGTGCCTTTCCCAAGGACACAACGTCGGGCCCCTGACGGGATTCGAACCCACGACCTTACGGTTGCGAGTCCGAGAGCCTAACCACTAGGCCACCGACGCCACTTTTATGCATGGATTTTAAGGAAAAAGGTTGATTGAAGGCACAAGAAATGTAAATGTAGTTTCCAAGAACTCTTAAGCTATGGATGTCACTAAACTTTGGTGGCCATTTTCTCGCTAATCTTACTTCTGAAACCAGGCGACCCCACCTCCTTCAATCACAAATATAGCGACCCCTTTTCAAAATGAATGGATATTTTTTTCATCAAAGCAAGGCAAATAAACCACCATTAAGATGATACCAATAAATCCAAAGGCTAAAAAATTGACGAGCGCCTGTTTCCACTGCGTCGTGACACATATTTTCTCTTAATCTGTGGAGATAAGTTTGTCACTACAGACTAGGGCAGAATGACTTCAAGAATTATGTTTTTATAGGCTAATGCGATCAGGTTTTATGTTAAATAGGTTAGATAAGTGGATTTAGTTTTGTTTGAGAAAAAAATATATCAGTCGGGGAAAGCAGAAACATGACACCTGACACTGTCTATCAAAACGAATAAGCGTGTTTTGTGTTAGATGCAAAGAAGAGAATCGGTTAAAGGCTGGCTCTATTTCTCCGAACGTTCGGGAAAATAAACTTGAACTTTATTTCTCCGAACGGTTTCCGTTCTCGAGATTTGTTGATAATAAGCGAATGGAGTGGCCCGTGTGTGAGGGGATGGATGGATGGATGGGTGGAAGGGGTTAGGGGGGAATGGATGAAGGGGTGGATAGGTAGATAAGGATGAATGGAGGGGTGTGGGTGTATTGTATGGGTAGGTGGATGGATGGATGGGTTGGTGGATGGAGGGTTGGATGGGTAGGTTGGTGGATGGAAGGGTGGATGGGTGGGTGAGTGGATGGATGGAGAGGTGGATGGGTACATAGGTAGATGGATGGAGGAGAAAGAGGAGGATGATCATAGAAGGAAGCGCAACTTTTGTTTTTAAAATACAATGAAATAGAATGTTGATTTCATTTTCACCTGTCTCATGTAGTATAATTTGGTTTTGCATTTGTGGACTGGCGTACCAAAATATTGTGTAGGATAATTTGTGACTGTTGTGTAATACAAATGTTGAACCAATGCAGAGAACCACGCAACTGGGAATGTCCGGGAAAAGTAGTTGGGATAGCTAGTCCGCCCCCCC